CATTCATCCATGTCTGTCTGTCTATATCTATCTATCTATCTATCTATCTATCTATCTATCTATCTATCTATCTATCTGTATATATCCATCCGTCCTTGTATGCATCTATCTATCTATCTATCTATCTATCTATCTATCTATCTATCTATCTATCATCTATCATCTGTCTATGTGTGCTTACCATAGAATGTGTGTGGAGGTCAGAGAACAACTTGCAAACGTTGTTTCTCTCCTTCTACCACTTAGATCCCAGGGATTAAATTCCAGCTGTTAGGCTTGGTGGCAACCTCCTTTTTACCCACCGAGCCATTTCATTAGCCGATGGGCACTCTTTTATCAGCCTTGTAAGGCAGGGGCTGTGTGAGTTCATTTTAGACACTGTAATGCTCACTAGTGGGGTCCAGTTTTTTTCACCATCCTGGACAAAGTGTTTTGTTTCTTCCCAGTTATGCATATGGCACGAATCATGCTTAAAGTGACTTCTAGTTCATTGTCTTTAGATATTAAAGGTAAAGCAGGTACATTTTTGAAGGCAGGGTTCCCACTGTGGGAGCTAGACAGCAAGACAGGGCTTCAGATCCCCGGGACCAAGAAATGTCCCACAGGCTTCCTTGTTCGGCAGTTTCCAGCCCATGAGTGCAGGCGATACTGTGGAAACTGCTTCTGAAATGAACTACAGTATAACCAGGGAGGTCTGTGTAGGAAAAAGAGGGTGAGCGTGAATATGATTGTGCAGACGCAGTAGGGAAAGTGGAGCAGGAATCAACAGCTGACGGGAAGGCAGAGACAGTCCCGGGAACCTCCACTCCTGAGGTGGATGCTCTGCAGGAGGAGAGTTATCAAAGGTGGAGGCTGTGGAAACCTGCGGACACCCATCAAACAAACCGCGAAGATGCTTTCCTCATAGGAGAGCAAATATGCATTCTAGAAACCCAGAGAATGGGGAAAAGGAGAAGCAAGCTCCATGATACACACTCTTAAACATTTTGTGTATTTCTCCATTTGTGTTGTTATTACTTTTATGCGTGTATACTGCAGGGCACTAAACCGGGTCAAAGGGCTCATAGTCCTAACCACTTTGGAAAATGTTAAGATTCTTTTTTGTTTTGTTGTTTTTTTTTAATTGACTATTGCATGCAGACAAATCATAACTTCTGTTTCCATTTTCTTATCTGCAGAATAGGAGCAATATTAATTCCATAAGGTTAATTGGATTTATGTCTATAAAACTGTAAAACTGTATACATAGAAATACTTAGTGTATTTCTGTATCATGGGGTAGAAAAATGAATCTCTAATTTTGCTAATGTAGTGAATAACACTTGGAATAATTTTATTTGTATAGCATAGTTTTATGCACACTGGGAATTTCTCATAAAATTAATAATTATTATAATTATTTTATGGGATTACATTATCACTTATATTCCTGGAGATTTTCTTTGTTTTTAGTTTTATGATTTTGCTAATGCTGTGGTGGATAATTCTGTGAATTAGTTATTTCCTTAATTTTTGCTGTTATTTCTTAGGTGGATTTTTAAAAAGTAGAATTACTTCTTGTCTTAATATGGCATTTTGCAGTTCTTGATCCACTTAGACAGTAAATATGTTATGATGATAATTATTATTATTGCTAAATAACAATTCATTATTATTATTACTTTTATTTGTTTATTTATTTACTGTCCCCGTTGCAGTCTCTGGAATCTGTTTTGCGTCACCCAGCGGATAATCGCACCCAGATCCGGGAACTTGGGCAGACTCTGATTGACGGTGGGATACTGGATGACATCATCAGCGAGAAGCTAGAGGCTTTTAACAGCCGATATGAAGATTTGAGTCGCTCGGTGAGAACCAGACATGCGCAGTGTGATTAGGTAGTTACTGCACGCGCTGACCCTCAGAGAGTTCCCCTCTCCTGGAGCTTCCGTGCTGGTTACACATTGGTAATCTCTAAATTGGTCCTGGGTAGTTAAGGCCTTGGTGTGGTGGGCATTAAAGGAGACAGCCAATAGTAATGGGAGCCTGAGGACTTTGAAGTATGGTAGAATAGATCTACTATTTATTTGTAGACCACTCACTCACACACAACTTGATGAATAACAAACAAACACCCAAATTGCCAGGCCAGGCATGGTAGTGCATGATTTTAATGCTAGCACTCAAGAGGCAGAGGTAAGCAGATCTCTGAACTTGGGGCCAGCCTGGTCTGCATAGGACGTCCTAGGCCAACTGAGGCTACATAGCAACACATTGTCTCAACAAACCTCTGTCAGTGAATGCAGCCCTGTGGGAAAGAGCTTGCCTGGCATGCACAAGGCTCTGGGTTAAATTCCCAATACCCACCCACCCCTGCCAGGTACTTGTTACTATTTCTTTTTGTGAATTATGCTATTTTCTGCAAGAATCATATTATATATATATTTCTATTTAAAAGTAATGGGGGCTGTAGAGATGGCTCAGAGGTTAAGAGCACCAGCTGCTCTTCCAGAGGTCCTGAATTCAATTCCCAGCAACCACATGGCGGCTCACAACCATCTGTAATGAGATCTGACGCCCTCTTCTGGCATGCAGGTGAACATGCAGACGGAACATTATACATAATAAATAAATCTTAAAAAAAGAATAATAACTCCTATATCTATATCCTAGGAACTATCAGGGTCATCAGAATTTACTAACTGTCCTGAAAACAACTTAGCTTGGCTCATATCCAGGTTGTATCTCAACATGCATGTTCATATCAGTGATAAGAGGAGGGGCGTTGTTCTTTTCTTAGAAGGTTGGGGAGATAATTAGATAACTCTAACAGATTACTGAATAACAACTGCTGAGATTCAGATTATGAATAGCACTGAGCATAATTCAAAGATGTGAGGCAATTAGAGGCATGACACACGTGCACCTGTAGAATCTGTTCTCAATTTTAGGAAAAAGTTTTTAGATATTTATTCTCTTGATAGGCATCCTTACTACACATTATTATTGTTATTATTTTTTTTAGCTAGTCATTGGTGATTCTTAAAATTGCCTTACCTTTCTTTCTTTCTTTTTTTTTTTTTTTTTGATTTTCAAGACAGGGTTTCTCCGTAGCTTTTGGTTCCCGTCCTAGAACTAGCTCTTGTAGACCAGGCTGGCACAGAACTCACAGAGATCCGCCTGCCTCTGCCTCCCGAGTGCTGGGATTAAAGGCGTGCGCCACCACCGCCCGGCTTGCCTTACAGTTCTAACAAATAAAAGCTTTTTAAAATAAAGTGCAAGGTTTATTTAATTTCAAATGTTTTATGTATATGAGTATCTGCATATACGTATGTACACTGTATATGTGTCAGGTGTTTATGGAGTCCAGAAGAGAGTGTCAGATCCACTACAGTTGGAGCTAAAAATGGTTGTGAGTCACCAAGTCCGAGGTGGGACAAAAACCCTGGTTCTTTACAACGGCAACAGGTACTCTTAACCATCGAGCTGGTCCCCTAAGTAGGCATTTTTATTCTCTATTTTATATGTCCTATGGGAGATCGTTTTGTATTTGTGTTTTGTGATTGTATGCATTAACAGAAAGAAGTAAAAAAACGAGAGATTCGACTGCTGTGTCCACGAGGAAGAACATCCGCACTCTTATTATTGATAGTTATTTTTTTTTATAAGAAAAGCTGCAGTCTTGAACCAGTACTTTATTATAATCTTCATGGCCAGAAAGCACAGCCAGCTATTTATATCTGTGCTGAGCAGTTACAAAGGAAATGTCTCTTCTGTGCAGGCGGAGAGCAAACAGATTTCTTTGGAGAAACAGCTCCAGGTCCTCCGTGAGACCGACCACATGCTTCAGGTGCTGAAGGAGAGCCTGGGGGAGCTGGACAAACAGCTCACCACATACCTGACCGACAGGATCGATGCCTTCCAACTGCCGCAGGAAGCTCAGGTATTGCTTTCATGTCGAGAGAGCCTTTGTGTTCTGAGAAAGAGCCCAGGTAGCCGGCTCCTCGCTGGCCAGAGCCAGGACAATGGTGAACACTCTTTATGGAACAACCTTTGAATTTGAACTGTTCTTGTTCCCTGGGTGAGAACCTGACACATTTTCTCTTTAACGTTTTATTAGTTGTATGCGAAGGGGTGTCTTGCCTGCATGTTCATGTGTGCACTATGTTCACGTCTCGTGCCCACGGATACCAGAAGAGGGCATTAAATGCCCTGGCACAGGAGTCAAACCTTTGTAGACCGTTGTGTAGGTGCTAGGAAACGAAGCTATTGGAAGAGCAGACAGTGCTCTTAACAGCTGAGCCATGTCTCCAGCTCCTGCCACACATTTTCTGCATTAGAAAATGGCATACTTTTACTGCTATTTTTAGCTCTAGAGTTCAGACAGCTTATTCTGTGTAAATCAAATGTGAACATCAGAAAAGACACACAGTAGCTTACAATGCCACGGTCTATGGTACTATCATGCACCCCTCCCCAAGCTTATTACAGTGCATCACATACAGGATTAGGCACTGTATGACTATACTGAACTTCTGTATCATTATTTCTTTCCCTAATTTATTGTTGTTGTTGTATAATACCATACTGCCTGCAATTTACTATGTAGCCAAGATTGGCTATAAACTCACAGCAATCCTCCTGCTTCAGCCTCCAGAGAGCTAGGATTACAAGCATGAACCACTACCCCCTGGCTTCTTTCTGCGCTTTAAAACACTATGCCCTATTTCTTTCCTGTCCTGTTAGAAGATCCAAGCAGAGATCTCAGCCCATGAACTCACGCTGGAGGAGCTGAGAAGGAATCTCCGCTCCCAGCCCCCGACCTCCCCTGAGGGCAGGACCGCTAGAGGAGGGAGTCAAGTGGACCTGCTGCAGGTAATACCAGGCTTTCCTTTGCTTTTCATGTGCGGCAGGTATAGAAAAGCAAAACAGAAAGGCTTGACTTCTTGGGTACTTTTGCTCTGTGTGATGATGCAGATGTGGGGTGTGGGTGAAGTACTAATGGCTCATTGGGTACCTTTGTTTTGTACCATGATGCAGACAATAGGGTGACAGTGGAGTATTAAGGGCTCATTGCATCTCCTTGGCAGCAATAAACTATCAAGTTTTAATAGTTAGGTTGAGGAGAGAGAGTCTAACCTACCGGTTGGCTTTGTATAGACCATGCTCTGACCACAGAGGCTGCTGCTCTTGGGTAGGATGAAGGACTACTTAGGTGCTCATTGGGTGGAATGAGATGGACTTTCACTCCTAACTTGTCGTCAATGGTATTTGAGGTCTGTGTTCATGAATTAGAGTTTCTTGAACAAGTGAGGAAATTAATGGGCTTTCATCCCAGAGACACCAACTCTATCTAGATTCCTATTTTTGAGATTGAGATGTTGGGCATTGTTCATCCATGGCACCGAGCAGTTCCTTTACATGATCAGCGCCTTCCTAGTTCCTTTGGGCTTTCCTGGGTGGGCTTGTATTTTGAAAAACCTTCCAGCATTATGTATTTTACCAGTTTCTAATGGGAGAGATCACGAGTATCTTACTTTCATTTCTGCAAACAGAGGAAACTTCGAGAGGTGTCCACAAAATTCCAGCTCTTCCAGAAGCCTGCGAATTTTGAGCAGCGAATGCTTGACTGCAAGCGTGTGTTGGACGGAGTGAAAGCCGAGCTTCACGTCCTGGAGGTGAAGGATGTGGACCCTGATATCATCCAGACCCACCTGGACAAGTGCATGGTGAGCCTGAGGGGCAGCTTGCACGGCCAGAGCTGCTCTTAGGGTTTAGTCCAGAGCTTCTGTTCTTACTCCTGGGTTCAGACGTCGTGGGTGATGGAGAACATATTCATAAATAAGAAAAGTGGCTCTCCCAGGACAATTAGAAGATATAAGAGAAATAGGAGGAGGTAAAAGCGATGGTTATGGTCTATACAGATGAAGGCAGTAGATTAAGCACATAAATAACATGTATTAAAAAAACAAAGAAACATGTAAATCACAGCATGAGGTGAGAAGGACCTCTGCAGGATGCACTGGTAAGCTAAACCTTCCACAGTAAATTTGAAGCCACTAGACATACCACATCTAATGTGGATAGCGGGAATATTATAGAGTGAAAAAATTGTTCTGCTGGGAAAATGACATTGAAATCAAAGTTTAAACTTAAGAGAGGATGAAAGGAATGAGAAATAAGACCTTACTGTTTCATTCTCTGTGGTTAGTTGAACAGAATTTTCTACATGAGGTTAGTGAGAGGATCTGAGCTTAGCCTTACTGTCATGCCTGGCAGTCTTCTGAGAGGAGTTTAGGGGGAGATCTTGGGGGCTTGTTGAAGCTGTCATTTCTGCTGTTTGTTTCTTACGTGCGTGGAAGAGAACACAGAGAGGACACGTTTGAATTACATGCGAATGTTGTCAGCATCTCTTTGTGTATTGGCATATGGTGGCAGACATCAACGTCCTGGACATCACAGATAATGGCTTTGTGTCCTTGAAGTGTTTTGGGTTGGGTGCTGATGTGTGGATAGGCTGCCTGGGCAGAGATTGAGGATTCAAGGTGACAGGGATGAAGGCAGTTTGGAATGCGACCTGTTGTGGGACTCCCATTTCATAGGACCATGTCCACCTTGGTACTTTAAAGCTTTTATTATATTTCCAGGGTGTAAATTATACTTGCTATGGTAGATTTACTTCCTCAGAGAAATAAACAAGTAAGTGTTAGGGATTCCACGTTCTTTCAGGCACACTCCAGGGGCAGCTGTCTTCTAGTCATGGTGTTAGGAATTAAAAGCTTTTCTGTGGGTGTAGGGAATTGAACCAAGGACCTTGTGCTTGGAAAACCTGTGCTTTCCCATTGAACAGTCCACTAGCCCTACAGTGTTGAGTCTACAGAGCCTTTCCTATTGACCTCCTGGCATTTCCCATAGTTTTTGAGGGAGACGTGTTTATGACAAATACCAGGATTTGTACTCATCATTAATAGACCCATCTTGTTTTATGTTTAAACAAAACCAAACTCTATTAATTGCTCTCTTATCTGATTTGAAAAAGCGTTGCAACCTTGGCTTCCCTTGACTCAACCTTCAAACCACACTAGAGAAAGATATTGCCTTTTGATGTCCTTGGCGAGATATTAGCTGCCCAGCTATAGAAGCGATGTTCTGAAATGATGCCAGTTGGGGAAATTTTCTATTAACAATTTAAAAATTTCCTCTCTTTCAAAGAAACTGTATAAAACATTGAGTGAGGTCAAGCTTGAAGTTGAGACGGTCATCAAAACAGGGAGGCACATTGTCCAGAAGCAGCAGACAGACAACCCGAAGAGCATGGATGAGCAGCTAACGTTCCTGAAGGTTCTCTACAACGACCTGGGTGCACAGGTAAGACTTTTCACTCTTTTCCCCGTTTTTATCTCTCGATTTCTCCATCTCTCTCCCTCAATCACTATCATATTTTTATTCTTTACATGCATATTAAGAGTAAAATTGTTGGTAGTCATATAGATATTTTTAATACTTAATACAGATCAATGTTTCTATTTTCCACAGCTAGTGAAATTCTCTAAGTTATTCTAAGGAAACTCAACAAAGTAGTAGTTTCTGCTTAAATCTTACTTGCCTTTGAATTTCTAAATTGAAAAGTTTACCGAGGCATGTTAATGTCAGGATCTAGTAAGTGTTAAGTGGCAAGTGGTCCTCAGTAGTCTACTGATATAGTAAATGTTAGGTGGTATATAGCCCTTATTCTAGTCTACTGAGATTTAAGATCCTCCGCTGAGTGGGTGTTACATTTGGTAGGCCATTCCTCTGAGTACCTGAATTCACTGGGTCCCACAGAAAAATTATCCTCCTCGGTCTTTGAGAGTTCACCGCTGAAATTCAGAGTCCAAAGAACACGAGGAAGCCAAACTGACAGTGTTGAAAAACTAGTTTAGATAGTGTTTTGTTTGTTTGTTTTGAGACACGGTCTCCCTATTATGTAGCGCTGGCTATTCTGAACTTTGCTCTGTAGACCAGGCTGGCCTGAAATTCACAGAGATCCCCCTGCCTTTGCCTCCTGAGGGATGGGATTAGAGTTATGCTCCACTATACTCAGCTTGGGTAGTGGTTTAATTCTTCCACAGTGGTTGAACATTAGGCTGAAACTTGGGTTATGAACACTTTCTGAGGAAGTGCTGCATAAGCTGGGATTTGAAGGATAGGTCACAGCAACTTTGGTGAATGCAGGGGAGGGTTATAGAGCAGCTAGTGTACATCTTTGGGGGAAAGAGAACGCAAGGCGTGTGTGTGTGTGTGTGTGTGTATGTGTGTGCGTGTGCGCACGTGCACGTGCATGTATGTGTGTCTCTGTGTGTCTGTGTATGTCTTGTGTGGGCGCATGCATGCGTGGTGTGAGGGTGAGGGTACCAGAGGAATATGGGTGTCTGGCTCTGGCACTTTAGCTTACTTATTTATTTAAATTTTAAGACAGAGTTTCTGGAGCTTAGCAGGCAGCCAGTAATCCCCAGCCATCATCCTGACTCCATCTCTTACACTGCAGGGTTATTGGAATGTGCAACTGTGACCAGTGTTTTACACAGTCTTGGAATGGAATTTGGGTCTTCATGCATGTGTAGCAAGTGCTTTTAGTCATTGGGTCCTCTCTCCAGCCTCTAGATCAGTTGGGATGCTGGATTGAGAGGAACAAGAACAGCTGTGAGGAGACCAGCTGGGATGTTCTTGTCTTCTTCGTGAGAAGTGATGGTGGCCCCTGTGGGTGGGAGTGGAGATTAGAACGGGTTGACTTCAGACCCCTGTAGGAAGTGATGTCAATGTATTTATGGTCTATTAGCCTGTTGGTGGAAGGGAGGGGGAGATTAAGGCACGATCTTTATGTTTTAGATTTGCTTCCACGTGTTGAATTAAGAGCGGCAGGGCTGCGTCCCCGGCACCCGGCCGCCCGCATGGCTAGCTTATGCCCGAAATAATTACACGGAAACTGTATTCTTTCAAACACTGCCTGGCCCGGCTAGGTCCAGTTTCTTATTGGCCAGCTCTTACATATTGTTCTAACCCATTTCTAATATTCTGTGTAGCCCATGAGCTGGCTTACCAGAGAGGATCTTAACCTGCGTCTGTCTGGAGTGGGAGCATCATGGCGACTCCTCCTCTAACCTTCTTTCTCCCAGAATTCTCTTCTGTATACTCCGCCTACCTAATTTTCTATCCAATAAAATGGGCCAAGGCAGTTTCTTTATTAGTAAGAAATCATTCCCACATCATTTCCCCTTTTTCCGTTTAAACAAAAAAGAAAGGCTTTAACTTTAGCATAGTAAAATTACATATAACAAAACAGTTATCAAGTAAGAATTACAGTTACAATATTTATATCTATTTTATCTCTTATCATAACTAAGGAAAACTATAACTATTTATTCTTCAACTCCATCAAAGACTCCAGAAGGATATAATATTACCTAAGTAAACAAGAAATAAGAAAACTCTAGAAATGACAGAGACATCTCGCTGCCTGGACAGTCACCCAAAGTTCCTCTGTACCGTTGGGGCATCCATCTTCGGCCTACAGGCCCATGGTATCCAGATACATTTCCATGAAGCAGGAAATTTTAAAGACAGTTCAGTCACTTTCTGCTGTGTTCTGTAGAATGTCTTGTAGACTCTTTCATGAATCAGGAACCCCGAAAGACCATCTCACCTTTAGGCAAGTTCAGCAGTCCTCTCTCTGAGGGTTCTCTGTGTCCAGTTTATGCAACAGTCCAGGCAAGAGCAGTTTCTTGCCCAAATGACTATCCAACTCCATAAGGATCCTCTTCGATGCCCATCTTCCTCTTGAAGTAGCTGGTGCTGCCAGGAGCAGACGTGTCTCCTTGTCATGAAAAGTCCTAAGTTATTAAAATATTTTAAATGCCATATTCTGCAGTCTTTGAAAGATATGAAGAATGCCTATCTAATTGAAATATATCTCTATATATCTAGAAAATCTAACTAACATGACTACAAGCTTAACTATTAGCAATGATTATCCATTAACAACCTATATTTCCTAATTATACATTACATTTTAAGTGAACTACATAATCACAATACCTTAATCAAGTTCAAAAATACATATACATATAACAAAATTGACCTTAAAATCCATACCAATGCAAATTATTCATATCTATATCATATCCCCCTTTAAATGTAAAAGAACATTTATAAACAATATTTGGGAACATGGGCGTAGTTTTTTCTCTCCAAACTGCTTCCTGCTGAATGGGGGCACTGTTAATCAGATCATTTAGGGTGTAACCTGTGTGTCAGGTTCATCTCGGTTGGCAGTTGAGTGAAGTAATTTTTTGAGGGTGTTCACAGCAACCTTTCAGGAGGGCGTGGTCTATCATACCATACCGGGATAGATGCAATCCATAGGGTCACATCCTCTGTGGAAACAAAAGAAGACCCTCTCCAAAGCATCATATCCTTAGATCCAAATTTTGAAGTCAAGATACCTTTAGAACATATGTGCAGGTTCAGCTTAGCAGCCCATATAATAAAATGTCTCTTTGTACTTAGCTCCTTCACAGTCAAAAATTTTAAAGAAAACACAATGTACATAATCCAGACTCTCTGTGAATTTTTCATTTTTACGTGGCTTATTTTTCTTTATTTCTCTTAATCTATAACTATCTGTACTTCTGTACTCTGTCTCTTTAAAGACTTTACCCTTTTTCTTTTTAAGACATTAACTTTATTCTTTATATTCTCTTTTTTTCCCCAAGCCTACGTACATTCATCCAACGGTGTCTGAATCTGTTTTACTGTGAATCTGTAATTTTTTTTTTTTTTTCCAGGAGCATTTCTTAAAATGTTAAGCATTTCTTAAAAACTTAAGTTGCACCATGTATAGGTAATACGGTACTGCCTGTGTCCTGCCCAGTCTAAACCTTAACTGCACGGTTTTAAGGTAATTACGGTAGTTCCTGCCTGAGATCAGCACAGTTCAGCAAGGAGCAGCCGCTCCTGCCTCAGAGTCATTTGGTGCTTTTGAGCTGAGCACAGTTACAGGCAAACAGCAGTTTACATTGGAGCCGCAATCAGCAATTTAATTTTGAGACTGAGTGTGCAGCACAGAAACTCTTTTTATCCAAGTTACAGCCAAATCTGACACGCAGAGCACTGCGCAGTCTGAAAACGCGTCTCTGTATGGCAGCAGGAATCCGCCATGCTCTTCCGCCTGCCTAAGCCTGATTCCGCCATCTGCCCAGGTGTAGGCAGGGAACGCTGAGCCATCGGCAGGTCTCAGAGCAATCTCCTCCGATCCCAAGTGGGAACAGAAACATCCAGTCCCATAAAAGCCTTGAAATGCTTTAAAGCCAGAGTTCACGCTGGCAGCATAGCACCAGGAAGCCGCGCTTTAAAATGACGCAGCTTTTTTTCTCTGCTGCTGTTGCTGAATCAGGAATCTCTCTACAGCATGTCACCAACAAAACAGCAAAAATCTGTGTTAAACTCTGTTTCCCTTATTTTTAAGGCTTCTCAGGTTTTTAAGTGGATTTAGCCCCACGTTGGGCGCCATCTGTTGAAATAGGAGCGGCAGGGCTGCGTCCCCGGCACCCGGCCGCCCGCATGGCTAGCTTATACCCAGAAATAATTACATGGAAACTGTATTCTTTCAAACACTGCCTGGCCCGGCTAGGTCCAGTTTCTTATTGGCTAGCTCTTACATATTGTTCTAACCCATTTCTAATATTCTGTGTAGCCCATGAGCTGGCTTACCAGAGAGGATCTTAACCTGCGTCTGTCTGGAGTGGGAGCATCATGGCGACTCCTCCTCTAACCTTCTTTCTCCCAGAATTCTCTTCTGTATACTCCGCCTACCTAATTTTCTATCCAATAAAATGGGCCAAGGCAGTTTCTTTATTAGTAAGAAATCATTCCCACATCATCCACGGCCCACTGTGGTGTCATCATGGAGCAGTAGGGAGATAGGACAGTTGAGATGCATGCAGAAATCATATGCTTCTGCTTGATATTTTCCTATACTAACTCCTTTTGAGAGAGCTGTCAGGTAATTGTACCGGCACCAAGGCAGTGGTTCTCAACCTATGGGTCGCAACCCCTTTGGGGAATTGGATGTTGAATGTCCCCTTCACATGGGTCACCTAAGACCTTTGGAAACAACATATTTACATTATGATACATTGTAGTTATGAAGTAGAAATGCAAATAATTTTATGGTTGGGGGGTCACCACAACATGAGGAACTATGTTATAAAGGGTTGCAGTTTTAGGAAAGTTGAGAATCGCTGCATTAAGATCTGGAGAGGACATCTGGGCTAAACAGGTGGGTTTTCTGAGTTGTCTCCATATAGGTGGTAAGGTTTTCAGGACTAATGAGATTATTTAGGGAGAAGATATGGTGAGGGGGAAATGAGGTCATTGACCAAGGGTTATAAATTAGCCAAAGCAACTTTAAAATAAATAACAAGATAACAAGATGTGATAGGCATATGATAAGGATGAGCTCTCAGAAGCAAGGGGTGGTAGAATTTCAACGATGAGTTCAGTCATTGGTTTTGTGACTGCTGTGATTATCGTGACTGTGTTGTGATCCCATTGGCTCTGCTGCCATTGGGGCTGATATTGAATTTAGCAAGGGATGTGTGAGAAGTCAGGGAATAGTGCCACACCGTGGGAGAGCAGCTTTGATCATGTGATAAAAGTAGAGGGTTGGTCTTTAGGGAAGGTGTGTGTGATGAGAATTTCTGAAATGTTTACCAAGAATGAATGGTTATATAGCCGAGCATGAGAAGGAATGAATACTCAGTAAAGGTTTTACAACCTCCCATGGCCCAATTCCCCATGCAGATTGCCCTTCTTCCCTGCACTGATGAGGTTGAGAAAAAGTGTGTGTTCTTATAAGTTGACCTATGAGTTGTTGTCTTCCTGATATGCAAATTTTTGTTAGCATTAAGTTTGGTGATGGTTGTATAGCTGCTTGGGCAAGTCAAAGTCCAAGAATCATCATGTGATTCAAGTTTTTATCATTTCACTCTGCATTAAGGTACTGTGGATTTAGTGTTATGGATTTGAATTGAAATCCATCAGAAAATATTTCAGTTAAAAAATTTAATAGCTATTTGGGCATAAAAAAGTCAAACTGCACCAAAGGAGGAAGAGAAACAGTGTGATCCCATGTCACTTTTGAACTAATTTCGTCTCTCTATCACTTTATAGCTTCTTAGAAAAGTTCACCTCAAATGTGACATGCTCTTCCTCTGCCTGTTATCTGTACACTTGTGCTTATCAAAGTAAGACATACATCAGTTAATTTGTGTGGTAGTCAGTTGTACCCTTCAAGGTAGGCGAGGTCTCTCATCTTTCTGGTTTGAGTCATTGCTTTGTTTTGAGAGTACCATCATGTTATTTTAGGGATTAGATCTGTTAAATTAGTGGTGTTGTCTTCTTATTTAGCCTTGACCCCCTTAAATTTTACCTTCCACGAAAGTGGGGAGAGTATTGCTCATCTCAGAAGCTATTATGGATTTTATCGCGTGACACATTTAAGATTCATTAGCACACTGTGGAATCTACTTGAAGGGACTAATGAGGGGCCAGGATGTAGACTGTTTGCCTACCAGGCTCAAAGTCCCAGGCTTAATTTCCAACACTGTATACATGGGGCATGGTGACTATTTTTTTCTATAATCCCAGTACTCAGGAGATGGAGGCAGAAAGATCAGAAGTTTAAGGTCTTCCTATACTGTCAACCTGGAATACGGAGTCCCCATCTTAAATAAAAGAGACTGATGAATGTTAGTTCAACTCATTTTGCTTTCTGTCAATTAGAAGAACAGAACAATAAGATTCATGGTGTATAGTCGTCTGCTTTTTAAGTCATTTGGTTAGTAATAAAGCATGTATTTGGGAAAATAGTGCTTTTCTCCCTCACATGGCTACCTCCCTCTGTGCTTATGCTTTTCAATGGAACCCTTCTTTGAGAGGATGCTAAGCCATCTTCTCATTGAAATTATAATGTGTACTGATCATTGTTTCCTTGATATTGCTCCAAGGCCTGGGCTAAGTCCCTTGTGTAAGCATTTCTCTCACTTGGTGCTTAGAACAGTGGGGCTGGACTCTGCCTCCTCCAGCATGGAAGTGAGTGGTAGAGCCTGGCATGCCCAGCCCAGGATTTCCCAACACTTGCTCACTACAGTGTATGGAATTGCAGGATCCAGGTGATGCTGAGGTGATGGAAATAAAACAGTCATGGATGCCTTTAGGTTGACGATGAGTCAGTTTTCATCCTTTCTGAATTCATTCTCATTCATGTTCATCCTTTCCTTGTTCAATCATAATTCTTGTTTATCCTTGTTTTACAGTGTTCATCCTTGACCCCTTGTTTATTCTTGACCCCTTGTTTGTCCTTGACTTAGTCACCATGTCCCCTCCACCTCCCTTGTTCAGGTGACAGAAGGGAAGCAGGACCTGGAAAGAGCCTCTCAGCTGTCCCGGAAGATGAGGAAGGAGGCCGACATCCTCTCCGAATGGCTTTCTGCCACAGAGGCAGAACTGGTGCGGAAGTCCACATCGGAAGGTGTGATTGGTGACCTGGAAACAGAGATCTCCTGGGCTAAAGTGAGTTTCCCTTGGGGTGGCACTTGGTGTCATACTGGTGGCATTTGTTTGGGATAATCTAGGTGGACACCATCTCTACTTCGTATTAACCATAGCTTCTGCTTTTCTTCACTGCTTTCTTTCCTGCTTTTCTGTTCTGGGAAGAACATTTTAAATACAATCTGTTTGCTTATTCTCTGTTTTGAAAGACTGTTTTTTTCTGTAGCCTGGGCTGGCCCTGTACAGGATGACTGTAAATGTGCAGTAGTCAGTGTTGTTCCTTGGAAACTACAGCTCCCAGACTCCTCCTGGAGTACGAACACCTTGGCGCGCTGGCCGCGCCCAGGTGAGGGTCATTCCTCCCAGATAACCTTGCGCCCCCCGTTAAAAGCGAGCGTCCACGAGGTTTCGCCCTCTTGGCCCCCTCTCTTTTCGCCTCCCACCCTTGTGTGTCTCGCACACCCCATCCCTTATTGTGTTCCCCTTTCCCCATTAAAGTGCACCCACGTGGGAGCCGCGTGTCTCATCTTCTTCTTTGTGCGTCTCGCCTATTTTGTGTTTGTCCACACACCCACGCCGCCGTTTTTAAAGGAATCATAGTCAGGCTTCCTCAGATTCTCAATACCAGGATTATAGTCATGTGCACCTGTGTACTGTGCGTATTTGTGTATGTGTGTGTATGCGTGTAGTAGTAGGAGCGGCGGGGCTGCGTCCCCAGCACCCTGGCTGCCTGGCTAGCTTATGCCCCGAAATAACAACACACAAATTGTATTCATTTAAACACTGCCTGACCCATTAGTTTCAACCTCTTAACCCATTTCTAATCTATGTAGCACCACGAGATGCGCTTACCAGGAAGATTCTAGCCTACGTCCATCCTGGGTCGGAGTTCATTGCGTCTGCCTCAGATAGCAGAGCTATCGCGTCTGCCCGGGAGAGGGGAGCATGGCATCTCTGAGCTCACTTCCTCTTCCTCCCAGCATTCTGTTCTGTTTACTCCGCCCACCTATGTTTTAACCTATCAGGGCCAAGCAGTTTGTTCATTGCTTAACCAATGAAATCAACAGATTGATATGACACTCCCACATCATATACGTACTGTGTGTATTTGTGTCTGTGAGTGTGTGTGTTTGTATATGTGTGTGTGTGTTGTGTGTATTTGTGTGCATGGTTGTGTTTGTGTATGTATGTGTACTGTGTGTGTTTGTGTGTGTGTGTGTGTGTGTGTAGGCCTGAGGTTTACCTCAGATGTCCTTTGCTTTCTTTGGGACAGGATCTTGTTTTTCACTCATGGATATTAAATTTACCTCCATCCTTTTTCATTATTATGTACAGTTCTATGAAGAATATACCCATAACTGAATCTTCATACATTTATAATTGTTTCCTGAGTGTATTTTAGTAGCCGGAAAATTCTCAGGCTAAACAGTATGTCCATTTTAAAATCTTAGACGTGCTGTAGTCTGTCCTTTAGGGACAAGGACCACTTGTGCATCAGTTCCTTCCTGTTTTTGTTTGGTTTTGAGAGAACATTTGGCAGCGGTGTGAAAGCTCTTTCTCCAGTTATTTCATTAGAACCTTCTCCATGGCTGTGGCCACCTGTAGTCCTTTTTGAAAGTTATTTTTCCTGTAGGTTTGACCATTTTTTAAAAATCCCCAGATTAGTCTCTTAATTTAGATTTCTTTGTTAGGCTTATTAATGCTTATGGTGTTGTATAGTATTAAAAAACCCTTTCTTTGTCACTATAGTTGACTTTCTGCCCTTTAATTTTCTTAGATAAACACATAAGCATTTTTCTAAAAAAAAAAAAAAAAGGAATTATTGGATCTCCGTTCTTGTTACCTCTAGTTTCACAAGAGCAGGCTCTACTCTGGAGAGTTTCTTCATGATCTTTTATAGTCTCACCTTTAATGCTTTAATATTTTAGTTCATCTAGAGTTTAATTTGTGGTCTATCACAAGAAAGGCTCTCAGCTTTGTCCCCAATAACTAACTGATGATCCCAGCATCATTTATTGAGTTGTGAATTTATTTTCTTTAGTCTTAAATGACAATTAGTAGACTCTGACTGCATTTTGTTGTTCAGTTCTGACCTATTCCCGTCCTCTAGTTCCAAAGCTCTTGAGTGCTTTTTATTATCCATTTTAATTCTCATTAAAGGGTCCTTGTTGGTACTGGAGAGATGGCTCAGTGGTTAAGAGCACTGGCTACTCTTTCAGAGGTCCTGAGTTCAATTCTCAGCAACCACATACATGGTGGCTCCCAACCATCTATGATGGGTCTGATGCCCTCTATTGGCATGCAGGCATGCATGCAGACAGAGTACTCATACCTAAAAAAAATACATGAGTAGATAAATAAATTAAAAAAAGAAAAAGTAAAGAGCCCCTGTCTTTATGATTTTGTGGTTGATGTACTTTCATAATAATGGTTCCCAAATTGGTTACAAAAATTTTGTGTTGATTTAGTTCAAATTTATAGGCTTGTTAGGTGAGAATTTATGTTTTGGCTTTTGTTTTTTTGTGGCTGGCGATTAATCCTAGATTCTCGCACATGCCATACAAGTGCTCTGCTGGCCCTGTTAAATCTTTTCAAAGTTTAAAAAAAACAAAAAACAGAAAACATTTGATACTGTTATACATTATGATGTGTGTGTATGAGTAAATGTGGAATGCAGGCTTCCTTGTGTAATGGGACAGTTGTAGAGATCAAAGAATAACTTCCAGAGTTTGGTTTTCTCTTTTTACCTTTGTGTGTGGTTTCCAGGGATTGAACTTGGTTTTCCAAGCTTGCACAATAAGTGCCTTCCCCTGCTGAGCCATCTTTCTAGCTCCAGCCTAGCCCTGGAGCTCCTCCCACCTCTGCCCCTTCAGTTTATCCTCCAGCATACACCACAATAGGCTTGAATCCTCATTAGCATGTTGTCATATTTTCTCCCAGTCCCTGAATTCTTTTACTTTGCCATATATGTTTGATTTTTTCTTTCTAAACATTGTGCATATATACCCATGTATTTATTATATATTATTTTGTTTTTATTACCATGTAGATGTGCACATTTTCTCTTTTTTTACTAATTTCATATGTATATATACATATATATACATAATGTATGGGTGATATTGAGTTGTCTGTATTAATATTTGATCATCCTTTTTTTCTGGTCTTATGAGTTCTATTTTTTGTTAAATATCATACCTAATGGTGAGTTTGTCTCTTGTGAAATATATGCTCCTTGGGAAATATGTACTCCTGAATTCCCACTTAATCCTTTTACAAATTTGAAGTAGTGAGGATGGAATATACAACCCTCACAACACATTCTATTCAGTGGAGTGGGAGGAACGTTGGTGTGGAGCATAACCACCCACCTTTTCAACGCTGTGTTTTCAGATTTAAGGAATGCATTTATTTTATAACATTTCTAGTTTCTTCACTTGAATATTATGTGCAATATTTAAGATTAAAGTTTAAGTGGCATTTTTATTAGTGAACTGAAGTGGGAATTTTACTCCACAGATTAAATACTGTTTTCAATGGTCTTTCTTTACTGAAGGAGTGCAGCAAGTCTGAGCTGAAAAGAGCGTGCCTGTGGTTTGTTCTCCCAACAACTTGGTGGAGGAGAATGTCCGCAGGAAATGTCTGAGAGCCTTTTAGATACATCACTAAGTGTCATGACCAAGACAGTGTCTAAGCCTTGGTTCGCTTTTAGATTCGTGATTCATGTCTTTCCGAAATGTGACTTTGAAAACAGTGTCCATATGGGGACTTGAATACCTTGAAATGGTTGCTACAAATATTGCCTTAAGAAAGTGGACCACTGGGCTGGAGAGGGCTCAGTGGTTGAGAGCTCTTGCTGCTCCTACAGGGGACCAGTGTTTCCTTCTCAGGACCCAACAACAATCTGCCTGTAACTGCAGGTCCAGGAGGTCTGATGCCTCTGGCCTGAAGGACACACAACCACTCAAATGTGTGTGTACACACACACACACACACAGAGATGTAAATAAATATAAAGCTTAAAAGTACTTTTTGAAAAAGAAGCAGGAGTTTTAAAAAGATACCGCACCAGGAGGTGCCTCTGTCCACTGCTTTCAAGAGATTTTGCGTTTTTCACCATACTGCATTTTTATACATGTTCCCTTTCCCAGTAAAACTTCCTTTGTGGGTGAGTTCTTATCAGCTTTTTCCTACCTAGAGTATTCCCGCTCGTGGTGTGAAGCTGAAATCCAAAGCTTGTGTTTTGCTGCTTCTCCTTGACTTTCTTAATGTGTATTTCCCATCTGAACTTATTACATTTTTTTTCAAACTCCCTTATTAACCGTTTTGACTTTCATTAGTGTTTGAGGGTTCTCGGTATGGCAGTGTGTTGAGTTTTCTAAGGCATTGCAAGTAATTTAGGGAATCATGGACTCTAATGCTGCTGGAGGAGAAAAGTTAGAACACGGATGTGCAGGTGCACACACACACAGACACACACAGATAAGGTTAGGTAAATTTTATAATATTCTGAAAGTCAAGTAGGTTTTGTTCTCCCTCCTCCCTCCAGAATATTCTGAAGGATCTGGAAAAGAGAAAAGTTGACTTAAGCAGCATTACTGAGAGTAGCGCTGCCCTTCAGCAGTTGGTCTCTGGCAGCGAGTCTGTCTTGGAAGAGAATCTCTGTGTGCTCAATGCTGGGTGGAGTCGAGTCCGGACCTGGACCGAGGACTGGTGCAACACTTTGCTGGTATGTTACCAGAACACGGCAGGGGTGATGTCTTCTCTTCGTCGCTATATATAAAGCATATGGCCCCTATTAGAATGCAAAATCTGGTTCCTGTGTCTCACAGGTTTGTTTTGTTTTGCTTGTAAATTAACTTTATTATTCTATATTTTATTTTTCTATTGAAAAGGTATCAAGTGAATGAATTTGTAATACCTTTATGAAAGTAAAGTATTCACACTGAATATAGATGCTGTATTATTTAATATTTTAGTAAATATGCTTTCATTTTAATTATATCATATATCAGTTGTTATAATAATAAATGCTATATATCTGTATGCATACATTGCATATGCATTGTATACAGTCTTTATAATGTCTTAGTCATGCACTAGCTCCAGAGCAAACATTATACCAAATGATGGGGCCTATAAAGTTCTTGACTTTTACCTCAGTGAAGTTGCTTAAAGACTCTATTCTTTTTTCTCACTTATGGTATTGGCATTATTATAATTGCTCCCTTTTATTATTTAATGCTGATTAAATGACTTTGAACATATAGTGGTATTATAGAGCAATATATTAAACTTCCCATTTAAATTTTTTATGATTATGATTGTTATGACCATTACATTTTCATAGTGTTAAGCTGGCCCTCCTCTACCAGTAATAAACATATGGCAGCCCCGATCTCTGAAGTGAGAGTTTATTCTGTTTTATTCTGACTCATCTGATAGGACTTCTCTAACTTATATAATTCCCTTTCTAGACAGAGGTAGAAAAAAGAATACATTGTCTGTTGAGCATTTTTTCAAATCAGTATATGTAGGGCAGAGGAGGTCATGTGCTTAGGACTTCATTGGTCAGAGGTTTCTTATTCCAGTCCATGACCTATTACCCTATTACTCACCTGACTTTAGGTCAATTATGTAATCTGATACATCACTACATATCCATGTAGAGAAAAGTGTATAGTTAAAGCTGGCCACAGAGACTATAAAGCAATCGCGCCTCCCTCCAGAAACTCCAAACCAAAACCAAGCCAACTGTGTGTAAGAATGTAGCAAATTCAGCTGTTCTTTGTTGTATAGAATTGTGGGATACACAGTGTGCTCTTTGGTGGCCTTTCAAATCTCCTCTGAGATCATTGCCTTCCTATTTCATTTGATTGTGTCGGCATGATTTTACTCTTCTGTAGGACCGTCAGAATCAGCTGGAGCTGTTTGATGGACATGTCGCTCATATCAGTACCTGGCTGTATCAAGCTGAAGCTCTACTGGATGAGATCGAAAAAAAACCAGCAAGCAAACAGGAGGAACTCGTGAAGGTAGGCAGCCCCTAGTGTCGCAGGGATGATAGGCTGTGGTCTGTTCGCCTGTGCTGTCAGTTGTGTGGGGATTCTCATGCAGCTCACTTTTGAGCATTTGTCGTGATGGGAGAAACTCAGATGGCCATGGATTTTCTGTGACCGGCTCTTCATCTGGGTGATGGTGCTGAAATTTCTTCCTAAAACCACGGATATTTATTTTAAATATCTTGAGTCCATAGTAAGCATCGCACCCATGTTTGTTTTTGACTTTTCCCTTGAAATAATCTCTCTCTCTGTCTCTCCTCTTTCTTTTTCCATCAGCGTTTGTTGTCTGAGCTGGATGACGTCAACCTCCAGGTTGAGAATGTTCGTGAACAAGCCATCATCTTGATGAATGCCCGTGGAAGTGCCAGCAGGGAACTCGTAGAACCCAAATTAGCTGAGCTGAACAGAAATTTTGAGAAGGTGTCCCAACATATCAAAAGTTCCCAAGTGAGTACTTGCACTTTATAGAATACCATTTTCCCCATGGGTAGGTCATTTTGTGCCAACCTACTAATTTTTAAAGTTAAATGAATTTTAATAACTTTTTGGCAAAGCAATTGGTGTTACTTATATGTGATTATTAATATATAAGGAAGTATTGTTTACTAAATAACTCACAAGTGGTTTCAGAGTCAGTTGACAGTTGGGATAGGAATAGAACAGAAATAATGAGGTCAGGTCCCAAGTTAGTATGCTTATCAATCCCTGATCTTGAACTCATCCTTTTAATGTATGTGTTCATAGAAAATGCATGTGTGTGTGTGTGTGTGTTAATGTTGACAGATTTAAACACTATAAGTAACTCAGTTTATAGTTAGTAGAAAGACATGCTTCCTGAATTTACTAATTCAAAAAAAGCTGTAGCAATTAAATTGAGGGTCAAAAACAAATAACTTTCTACAAAAGAAAGTTGTCTATGCTGTGTATTTTTCCCATTCTTTCTCTTTTCATCCTTATTTTTAGAGGGGAGGAGGAGAAATGTTTTACTATAGAGTTCTTAAGACTAGGCACAGATTAGGAGCTTTGGAAATGTGATGTAGTTGCCCCCCTTGGTGCCATTTGTAGATGAAAATTTCTGTACTGCCTGGTCCCACAGCTATTCAGTTCCAAAGTAACACATAGAGACTTATGCTAATTATAAACTGGTAGGCCTATTAGCTCAGGCTTATTATTAACTAGGTCTTATAATTTAAATTAATCCATCATTCTTCTTTATGTTTAGCCATGTGGCTTGGCACCTTTCTCAGTGCAGTATTTTCATCTTGCTTCCTCTGTATCTGGGTGGGTACTATAGACTGAAGTTTTCCTCTTCCCAGAATTCTCCTAATCTGGTTGCCCCACCTATACTTCCTTCCTAGCTACTGGCTAATCAGCACTTTATTAAACCAATATGAGTGACAAATCTTTATAGAGTATAAGAACTTTATCCTATAGCATGATACTAACATAAAAATCTTTATAGCATTTTGTACATGCTCTCGAAATTGATTTTAAAAGTAACAATGTGTGATCTGTTATAATTTCCCAAGTTAATTTTATGGATTTCGTGGTTCCTTGGGGAATATTGTGTTTGTTACAATCATCTTATTTGTCTCTCTTGGCATCAGAGTTTATAATTCATTGAATTGTAGAGGTTGTTCAAGGGCTGTTCCAAAGATTTTCAGCATTGGCTGACAGAAAGATTTTGTGTCTGTAGTCAGGATGTGAGAAGGTTGCTTCCCTCATATTTGACTGTCACTGGGTGTTACTTTTCTTCATTTATTTTTATTAAAATTGTTCTTCAGACTTACCTTTTCCGTATAGCCGTGAAAATGTGCCATTTGGAAATATAACCTTTTTTGAAGTTTGAGTATTAAATCCAGGGAAGTTCTTCTGAACGTGTAAGGGAGGCATTCTCTAGGGCGTCCTGGCACTGGGTGAGGACTGGCCATCGTTACTCTATGACTGTGGCAGGGATGGCTTGACTCATGGCCCTGTTTCCTATAGGGTCTTCTGTTCACTTTGGCATCTGCCATTCTGCACCAAGCAGCCACAGTCAGCTCACACCTCACGCCCCTGGCTCAAGGTTGAAAAATGAGTTATTCTAAGAAGTCCATATTGTCAAACGTCCTTGTTCTACGATGAGTGACATAAAAGTCATTTTAGATAAATGCTGGTACCTGCTGTGACCCCCACCTTTCAGGACAAGTTTGGAAAATTAAGTCAACTGTATGCTTCAGAGGCCTCTTTTCCCTTCCTAGATGCTGATTGACCAGGACCCTACATCCTATCAATGCTTTGGTCCTGCTGGAACTGTTGAAGCTGCTGGGTCTTTCTCTGACTTGGAAAAATTAGAAAATGATGTAGAAAACATGCTGAAGGTTGTGGAAAAACACTTGGACTCCAGGAATGATGAGGAAAAGGTAGGCTGTTTTCAAACCCTACTTTCCTTTTTCTTTTCCTTCTCTCTTTGAATTTGCTTACTTGACCTGCTACATGTAACTGAAGAAATCCAGATGTGATTTATGAGGGTCATTGTCAAAGCTGTCAAGTGACTTGTGTAATGCTTAAAGTTCACGTACAACCCTGCTTGGTGGCACACTCATCTAATCCCAGCAATTGGGAGGCAGATGCAGAAGGCATGGGAATTCAAGGCCTTTTTTAGGTATATAGCAAGTATGAAGCTATCCTGGTAGTAGGAGGAGCGGTGGGCTACGTTCTTGGCACCCGGCCGCCTGCACGGCTAGCTTTATACCCGAAATAATTACACGGAAACTGTATTTTTTAAACACTGCCTGGCCCATTAGTTCCAGCCTCTTATTGGCTAGCTCTTACATATTGATCTAACCCATTTCTAATAATCTGTGTAGCCCACGAGGTAGTTTACCAGGGAAGATCTTAACCTGCATCTGTCTGGAGTGGGAGAACCATGGCGACTTACTGACTTGGTTACTTTCTCCCAGCATTCTGTTCTGTCTACTCCACCCACCTAAGGGTTGGCCTATCAAATGAGCCAAGGCAGTTTCTTTATTAAATGAAAGTAACTCCTCCATCAATCCTGGACTACCTGAAATCTTAATCTCAAACAAACAACCAAACAAACAGAATAATAATGATGATGATAATTATAATAATAATGAATCACATTGACTCATGTCTACCCCCTACTTTCTGTCTAAATGTAATCATTATCTAAGGTGTGATAAACTGGCTTTGGAATATTTTATTTTCAAATATAAAATATTTAAAGAAAATCACAAGCCCTTGCACCATCCAGGCTGTTGTAGATTGCCCACACTGCTCTGTCTTCATTAGCTTCATTCTTTCACTGAGCAATGGTGAGTATTGCATCTGTCTGGACATTTTTGCCTTTAGCAAATGGTTGTTTCTTTAAACATTCAGATGGATGAGGAGAGAGCCCAGATTGAGGAAGTTCTGCGAAGAGGGGATCATTTGTTACATGAACCCATGGAGGACAGTAAAAAGGAAAAGATCCGTTTGCAGTTGCTCCTTTTGCATACACGTTACAACAAGATTAAGGTATGATGGAGTGGTCTCTGCCACAAATAAGTAACTTCACCATTTTCTCCCATCTAGGCCAGTGCTATAATATTTAAAAATACTTTCGAGCAAGTCAGATAGAAAATCGTATGATTCTGTAGATCGAGAGCATCAAAGTCAGGTCACCAGATTTAGTGGCATATGCCGTTACCCACTGAGCCATCTCCTTATGGTGTTTTTAACTGTGGATATTGAAAATATTTGGAGAAACAAATACATAACAACCACCACCACAACAACAGCAACAAAATAGCAACAGCAGCAGCCACATCCTTGCCTAAGGGTAGTTAAGTCAGAATCTTTCAAGGTTAGATCTAGGAGTGGCACATTTAAGAAATAAAGTTAAAAACAATAATGCTAAAGTCGTGCAAGTGTACATGGTATGCTGAACCTATCTCTCCCGTAGTCTCTGCCCTCCCCGCCTCACCCCTTCTCACTCCTATCATTCCCCGTTGTTCCCCTAGAAGTTTCACTTCTATTTTCCTGTCATAGATGTCAATGTGATTTTTCATACTTTTATAATGTCTAGGAACCATTCGGTAGAGAAAACATATAGTATTTGTCTTTCTGACGCTGACCTCATTTGCTTAAAACTCTTAAGTTACATTTTTTTTTTTTGCCAACTGTAGAACTTTTAACTTTATGGTTGAAAAAATTCTAGTGTCCTTTTTCTTTACCCCTTCCTCTGTTGTTGGGCACCAGGTTTCATTATAATTGGGGTGCTGTGCTGTAGTGAACTCTAACATACACTCCGAGTTGGCAACCACAGGCACAGAACCTACTTTCTTTTTTTTTTTTTTAAAAAAAATATTTATTTATTTTTATGTATACAATATTCTGTCTGCATGTAGGCCTGAAAGCCAGAAGAGGGCACCAGACCTCATTACAGATGGTTGTGAGCCACCATGTGGTTGCTGGGAATTGAACTCAGGACCTTTGGAAGAGCAGGCAACGCTCTTAACCGCTGAGCCATCTCTCCAGTCCCAGAACCTACTTTCTTATGTGCTCTACTAACTGGCCTTTTCCCATTTGTGAACCGGGATATTCCTATTGTGACATCAGTATGAATTCTTGATGTTGGTAGACGACTCAGTAGGTGACATGCTTGGGGTATAAGTCTGTGGACCTGAGTGTGGATGCTTTGTGCTGGGCGAATTTGTCAACACACCTGTAATTCCGGCACATAGGAGGGTGGGACAAGTGGTCGTCAGAGCAAGCCAGGTAGCTAAACTATTCATGTCAGTCAGTGCCGGGTTCAACCGAGATGCTCTGCCTCAGTGAATAAGGTCTACAGTGACAGAGGAAGACTCTGATCACAGCCTTGGCCTTCTGCACGCATGCATGCTTATGTGTACACACACACACACACACACACACACACGCACACATGCACACCAAACATGGACACATACAAAAAAAGAAGCTATGGATAGGGTCAGTGAGATGATCCAGCTGATGCTGGCTGTGCAGTCCTGCCAACATGAAAGCAGTTCCTGAAGCCATGGTGGAATGAAAGAGCTGATGCCGAAAGTTGTGCTTTGACGTCCACACCTGTCCATGACATTTGTGCACCCCAGTGGCACACACGCACACAGACAATAAAAATTGAACTGTATAACAATAGGAAATATACGAATGCTTTATAAAATACAGATATCCTTCATTATAATTCAGTTGTATTATATTGTGGGGTTTTGTCTTTTAGTTATTTTAACACACGCATAGCTACATAATGGCTGTAGTTTTTAGATTTTTTTTTAAAAACTTGTTTTGCCTTCTAAAAGGTCCTTTTCTTTCAGAGAGTTGATGAATAGTAGTTCTGTTCCATTTCAGCTTTTTTCTGCCTTATTGGGTCAATAACAACAAAGTAGAGGATATTATAAAATATTCAGTTCCTCCCTTATCTGTGTGGGCTATATTATGGGATGTGAGCCACCCCATGCAACGTCATCTTATTTCAGAACTCTGCATCGTGTGCCATATTGCCTTTTTGTTTCTGTGCCCCAGCAGCCCCTGTGTGGCTGTGATGTGTGGTGTATGCATGGGAGTGTGCATGGAGAGGCAGGGGCGGGGGCGGGGGCGGGGGCGGGGGCGGGGGCGGGGGCAGGGGCAGGGACAGAGACAGAGCAGAAGCAGAATCATGCAGATGCCTGAGGAGGGCAGTAGATATTTTCCTATATTGTTCCTTAGTTTTTGAGACAGAGCCTCACTGAATCTGAAGCTCAGGGTTTCACTGGCAGGCTGGCTGGCCAGTGAGCTCCCAGCATCCTCCAGTCTCCTATCCCCAGCCCAGGGTTACAAGCACAGGTTGTGAAAAGATTCAAATTCAAACTCCCACTGAGCCATCTCCCTAGACCTCCCTGCATGCTAATCCTCCCCACCTTTGTGGTCCTCCACAGGTCTTTTCAGGATCTCTCTCTCTCTCTCTCTCTCTCTCTCTCTCTCCCTCCCTCCCTCCCCCCCCC